GACCGCAGCGCCTATCCACACGTCGGAGGCGTACGCGCTCGCCGGTGCCTGCGCGTGCGTGGCCGGAGGCCAACGAGCACAACACAGTGCATCGTGGACAACATGACGCTGCGGGGTTACAGGTCCAACGGTGTTTAGATATATTGCAACTGTTATAGCGCTGAACGTCAAATATTTTTTTTTTTTTTAAAAACGTCCGTCGACTGATCGAGTAGCCCTTCGTGTATCCGTGAATTTGTGGAGAATGGAGGAGTAGATTGGAAGGGTGGTGGGGTGACAATTTTTTTTTTGGGGGGTGGAATGGTTCTCCCCGAGCCCCAAGCCAATAACTCAATTGTCACAATTCATGGTCGTCACTTGAATGAGTTGTGTTTAATTGTGGTGAATGGTAGTGGCCCTCTAGTGGCTCAAGTGGCCACGTGAACTCATTACGTACAACGAATGTAAAAGCACGCGAATGCGCATGCCGTTTAACGCACACGCAGCAAACGTAGCAGTCGACGTTAAAGTGGTGCGGCGTTTGATCCATGAGCAATTACTCACAAATAACACCACTGTCAAAGAAGGTGGACCCGCTTTTGCAGAACTGTTTACCGGAGGTTTATGGAGACGTGAAAGAATGTAATCGTTTGACGATGCCTCGATCATTCGTCTTTTTAAAAAAAAAATGATGATGAAACCCACTTGAAGAATGATAGTTCCGTCAGCCAATCACGTGCACTGCACGGGTTTATAGACCATGACAGAATTCTGGGATACGGTAGAATTCCTCTCATACGCGACCGTAGTACGAGCGACTCCACTGAACATATGCAGCAAAAAAGCTTTGTAGCTCATCAGATTTCTCAAGTATAAATAACATATTTTGATTCTGACTCCTGTCGTCCGCAGGACAAAAAAATGGCCCACTATTCTACCTATTCGCAAATATCTGTAAATGTTCCCATTCTGCAATGCGGAACAGCTTGCTGTTATCCGCAATTTGTATTACGGATAAGTGGATAGACGTGGAAGTTACATCCTATTATCCACGACAGCGTAAAAAGCGTAAGCGAGTTAAAAACCCTTCTATCCGCAATTCTATGGCAAGTGAAGAAAAGTCGATTGGCAAATTCTCACGATTCTTTTATCAGTCTTTACGATTGACTACATAAGATCACTGCACCACTCGTGAGATGTTGTCCTCTTCTTTTTGCGGCTTCGAATAATCTGCTTTGATTTTTACTCGCCCGTTTCTCCATCGATTCACGATTGAGCTCCGTGCATTACTATGCAGACCAAAAATTGCAAAAAAATAGCTCGCGATGCGATGGAACACATTGCTTGAGATCAAATTGACACACGGCGCGATGCCTTTAACCCGGACAGGGCTCGGTTCACCAGCTGCCACGGCTGCAGTCACGATGCCAGTCTATATCGATGTTCAGTGCATGTTCAGCACAAGTACGTGTGGTTAATGCAGACTTGATTCTTTGCCAATGTTATATATATACACACATGGTGCTTCAAAACAATGTTAACACTTAAATGGGGCTATCGTTTATAATGGGAAAAGAACGGATAGTACACTGTAACATGATGACAAATGTACGTTAATAGCTTCAAAAAGTCAAAGAGTCTCCACTTATTCGCCATCGTTGTCAACACGTGACCTGGAATCTTCCCCAGGTGGTCTCCAGAGGCCCGAGGAACATTTCTTGTGGTGGTGTTGCAAATTCTCGGAAGTGTTCACATTTTTTCTAAACACTCAGTATTTGGTGTTTGAACATCTTAAAACCTAAATTTTGATTTAAAGCTTTCGTGACTGCAGTAATTCATATTCTTAGTGTTTTCGGTAAAGTCACGTTGAAGGGAAACAACAAAATAATAAAATATATATAAAACAATAAAAAATTATCACGACGTTTCGACCATAACTCAAACGGTCGACTGAAGTCGACCGTTTGAGTTATGGTCGAAACGTCTGAAGTCGACCGTTTGAGTTATGGTCGAAACGTCGTGAGAATTTTTTATTGTTTTATATATATTTTATTATTTTGTTGTTTCCCTTCAACGTGACTTTACCGAAAAAACTAAGAATATCTTAAAACCTGTTTTATTGCCAGAAAGGGTTAAACCTATTCTCATTTTTCATACTTTGATACTGGCAACAAGGTATCCCATGATATAGCTGCTCACGCCGAGCTATAAATACTCTGATACGTGCATTGTCTTTGTACTGTTCGCCGTGTGGCATCCTCTGGTTTGACACACTGTTGAGACTAGGCCATTAAGAAGGCTCTCTCGTGTAAGCCAATGAGTTTCAAAGACAATGCCTTATATTATATCAGAGCACGTGTCTTTGCATGTTCACCACAAGTACGTGTGGTTAATGCAGTACATGATTCCTTGCAAAAGGTATCTAGTTGGTGTATGAACGTCTTAAAACCTGTTTTGATGCCAGAAAGGGAAAACCTATTCTTCATTTTCATACGATGCCACTCCTTCGATTGGTCGATCCCTCCCCATACGCCAGACCTGCCCACACCATCGCCCTCCTCATAACAGATCCACGATTTCAGAAGAAGATGAAGAAGACGAAAAAAAACATTCAAAAGCGAGAGAAATTGTCTCGTGACAACGGAGCAACGTTTGTTGTTTTTGAATGAGCGTTAGATATTTTCTCGGGATTATAGCGCCTCGGCTACGTTTGGTGAACCAAGTTGTACATTGTACTGCAAATGGACATAGTGAAGGTCAAAATAAGTCCACAGGCGGAGTCAGTGCCGGATTATCCGAGTAGCAAAAGTCGCTACACATGTAGTAGCTACTACATATGTAGTAGCTACTACATGTGTAGTAGAGACAACACATGTACTACACATGTAGTAGCTACTACATGTGTAGTAGCTACTACATGTGTAGTAGCGACTACATGTGTAGTAGCGACTACACAAGTAGTAGCTACGGGTGCCGCACTTTCAAGGGCCCCGCGCTAAATGCTTTCAAGCTATCAATTCCGGTTCAGTGATTCTGCCCTTGCTCTATTACTATAGTACTATACTGCCTTGAACTTTATGAACTACTGGGTGTTTAAGGCAAGCGATTTGTCGTATTATCTGGCTGCATAGCAAATTAAAAATACAATAACTTTACTATGCAAGCAAACATTTTGTGTTTTAATATTGATGTTTTTTATTTATTTAGGGCACCTTTATAACATGCTACAGGCGCCGCACTAGCTTAATACGGGGGGGGGGGGGGCAGGGCAGGGGCTCGCTTTGTCCCTGAAGTTAGGAATCGCGGGTGCATAAAATGTATTTATTTTATATTAATTGTAATTGCAAACTCTGCCCACGATAATAACCCAGTTGCATTGAGGTTGGCCATCCCGAATGTGAGGCGAGTGGCCTTGAAAAGCTTGGGGCTCTGCTGTATCTGCACGGAGGCAGGTTGATGATATCCACGAAGGCTCACTACGTGTAAGGTGACTGCATGCCCGTCACACGTTACTGGCTGTCAGGTTGATGATTTCCACCTACGCCGACTACCTATCACGTGACTGCATGCCCGTCACACAGACGAGGCACTATGAAGTGCCTCGTATCGGAAACTCGCTGTTGAACGCCTGTATACATTACACAGAATCGATCAGACTATGTATTGATAATGGAAAAATCCGATGACCTATGAAGCTCTTTTTCACAGATGTCCAGAAGGTTTTCACGGACATCTGTGTAGGATACAAACGAGCTGCGCAACAGGACACAGTATAAATTTCGATTTAAAGCTTTCGTGACTGCAATGATTCATCTTCTTTGGTTCTTTCGGTAAAGTCACGTAGAATGATAATAAAATAATAAATTGATAAAATAAAATAACACAATACTATTCTCGAGAATATTATTGTGTTATTTTAATATTCTCGAGAATATTATTGTGTTATTTAAATATTCTCGAGAATATTATTGTGTTATTTTATTTTATCAATTTATTATTTTATTATCATTCTACGTGACTTTACCGAAAGAACCAAAGAAGAAAAACCTTGCAAGTTCAGCAGACCGGGGTGTTGCAGAGTAGACCCACAAGATTTACAATTTTAGTATTTATATGAAACCCGGCTGTCACATTTCATTGACGCAAACGTGCCTTTACTGCGTCATGTATTCGCGCTAAGAATATAATTGTTGTTGTTGTTGTTGTTGTCATCGAGCACACGACGCGCGCGGATCCATCCACAGAGTGGCGTAGTAGCGAGGCCACCGCGGGGCCTGGCGCTATAAACCAAATAGGGAAGGGGGGCCGGCAGAGGGGGGGGGGGCTCTTGCCCAATGTTACCCCGCTCTCTCCACAGCGCCGTGCCCCCCCCCCCCCCCCACCGGCACGTGGTGCCCATGGGCAGTTGCACCGCCTGCGCTCTCGGTGGCTGCGCCCTGCGTGGGCAGTGTCCACGTGGGCGTTGGGAGGTTGACGCGCGTGCCCGTGTGTTCACGAGGTTGACGCGCGTGCCCGTGTGTTCACGAGGTTGACGCGCGTGCCCGTGTGTTCACGAGGCTGACGCGCGTGCCCGTGTGTTCACGAGGTTGACGCGCGTGCCCGTGTGTTCACGAGGCTGACGCGCGTGCCCGTGTGTTCACGAGGTTGACGCGCGTGCCCGTGTGTTCACGAGGCTGACGCGCGTGCCCGTGTGTTCACGAGGTTGACGCGCGTGCCCGTGTGTTCACGAGGTTGACGCGCGTGCCCGTGTGTTCACGAGGTTGACGCGCGTGCCCGTGTGTTCACGAGGTTGACGCGCGTGCCCGTGTGTTCACGAGGTTGACGCGCGTGCCCGTGTGTTCACGAGGTTGACGCGCGCGTTCCACGCTGTCGAGTGACAAACGAGGCACGGCGGCGTCGGCGGCGGCGGCGCTCACCTCCATCGATGGCAACTGAGCCAGTCGTGGAAATTCCACAGTATCATGGCAGAGGCCAGTCGCTCCAACAATAACAACAACAACAACAACTAATCACTTCTCACAATGGCGCACTCGTATATCGACCCCTGTGGAAGGTCAGGGTCAAGCTCCAGACTTGGATTTGAACTTGGAAAGCTTCTGATTGCGAGCTGCGTGACTGAAGCCGTGCCACGCAGCTGGAGCGGAGTTGGTGATGGTTACTAATCCCTGAGCGCCTTCTCAGGCCACTGCTTGCTGAAGGCCCGTGACACGTCAGTCATGGGAGTTGTTTGGCAATGTGGGTTGGTGAAGTTGGAGGGAGGTGTGAAGGAGGGGGGGGGATATATCACTCGCCACTGATGTTATGTATGTATGTCGAACGTACGTAGCAAACCGTGCTAATCGGAGGTGTGGAGGAAGTACACCAAACTAAACACCAAGAGCAATTCTAAAGACATGAGTTTTCAATCTGGGTGATTTAGAAGTGGATTAACTCCAGTAGTTTCCTACAATCGGAAGGAAGAGCGTTCCAGGCGGCCACATGAGCTCCTCTGAAAGCGCGCGATGCGGTGACCGCCTTTGTTCGACGTGGCCAAGGAATCCAACTCGCGTCGCTGGGTTCCAGAGCTGCTCACTCCCCCGCCCACTGTAAGTGTGTGTGTGTGACTGTGTGTGTGACTGTGTGTGTGTGTGACTGTGTGTGTGACTGTGTGTGTGACTGTGTGTGTGTGTGACTGTGTGTGTGTGTGACTGTGTGTGTGACTGTGTGTGTGACTGTGTGTGTGTGTGACTGTGTGTGTGACTGTGTGTGTGTGACTGTGTGTGTGACTGTGTGTGTGTGACTGTGTGTGTGTGACTGTGTGTGTGTGATTGTGTGTGTGACTGTGTGTGTGTGTGTGACTGTGTGTGTGTGACTGTGTGTGTGTGACTGTGTGTGTGACTGTGTGTGTGTGACTGTGTGTGTGACTGTGTGTGTGTGTGACTGTGTGTGTCTGTGTGTGTGTGACTGTGTGTGTGCCTGTGTGTGTGTGACTGTGTGTATGACTGTGTGTGTGTGTGACTGTGTGTGTGACTGTGTGTGTGACTGTGTGTGACTGTGTGTGCGTGAATGTGTGTGTTACTGTGTGTGTGTGTGACTGTGTGTGTGTGACTGTGTGTGTGTGACTGTGTGTGTGTGACTGTGTGTGTGTGACTGTGTGCGTGACTGTGTGTGTGTGACTGTGTGTGTGCGAATGTGTGTGTGTGTGCCTGTGTGTGTGTTACTGTGTGTGTGTTACTGTGTGTGTGTGTGACTGTGTGTGTGTTACTGTGTGTGTGTGTGTGACTGTGTGTGTGATTGTGTGTGTGTGACTGTGTGTGTGTGACTGTGTGTGACTGTGTGTGTGTGACTGTGTGTGACTGTGTGTGTGTGACTGTGTGTGTGTGTGTGACTGTGTGTGACTGTGTGTGTGACTGTGTGTGTGTGACTGTGTGTGACTGTGTGTGTGACTGTGTGTGACTGTGTGTGTGTGTGACTGTGTGTGTGTGTGACTGTGTGTGAGTGACTGTGTGTGTGTGACTGTGTGTGTGTGACTGTTTGTGACTGTGTGTGTGACTGTGTGTGTGACTATGTGTGTGTGACTGTGTGTGTGTGACTGTGTGTGTGTGTGGCTGTGTGTGTGTGTGACTGTGTGTGTGATTGTGTGTGTGTGACTGTGTGTGTGTGACTGTGTGTGTGTGTGTGACTGTGTGTGTGTGTGACTGTGTGTGACTGTATACATCTTCCCATCAATCCCCCTGAATTGCTTGCACACTTATTCCTTCCGCACACTTGAAAAAAAGTGTGACCTCGTGCTCAACCCACGGATTTAGGTTACAGAATTCCCCCCCTCCGTCATCAAAATAATTCTGTCTGCACGTTACACAGTGGCGCGCTTTGTACACAGCGCGCGTGTGAGACGCGGTGGGCATAGTGGGATGCAAATCACGAGTCACTCAAAGGGGCCTGTTCGTTTGCGAAAATACACCTGTGAGCGTCTAACATAAACATGATGAGAATCGTTTTTTAAACATATACATTTCCCCCTAAAATGCATGTCGGTGCGGTTTAGTAATTAATCTTCGCTCTTTTTGTGTATCTATTAAGAGGTAAAGGCGAAGTCTTGCAATTGCGTTGCTCACGCCACTGCTGCTGGTGTAAGGGCCTCCACTAGAGGGAGCCCCAGAGAGCCCCTCTAGTGAAGGTGTTTGGCCTACTCTTCCACACTGGCCAGATGTCTTGGAAGAGGTGGGAGTGCCCACACTTCACCCCACCACACGCGACCTGCCGACTCACTGTGGTTCTGTCCACCCTGCAGTATTGGTATTTAATATTTGCTAGCAAAAATACTATTATGTATACTGTTCTTCATGAGTACACCCAAATTTAACCAGGGAAATGGCCAACGATCCAAAAAATTAAAATCTCCTGCAGAGTACGAGAGACTTAGGGACGTTGCTTTATCCTGGGTAGATACAGATGTAGTAGTGATTGATATTATTATTCTATTATCTACAAATCCTTTTATCCACAAATCATATTATCCGCAAAGTCCGGTGTGTTCGAGAGTAAACCCACGACATTCATTATTCGAGTATTTGAATTGTAAAATGTTGTGGGTATACTCTCCAACACACCGGTGTGCTGAAGTAGTAACTGATTGGCACGTTATGAGACCTCCTTTGCCAGTAACAAGATATAGTAATAGGTTTTACCCTTTTAACTGGCACAAAAACTGACACCTTTATTCAAGGCATCATGTTTGCAATAACCACAACACAAGCAGTCAAAATGCCGTCTCGGGTGTGGACCAATCAAATTCAAGGACAGTGCATATTATTATCACAGTTGTTTCTTTTGTTTGCATTTTGACTGCTTGTGTTGTGGTTATTGCAAACATGATGCCTTGAATAAAGGTGTCAGTTTTTGTGCCAATTAAAAGGGTAAAACCTATTACTATAATTGGCACGTTTTTGTTTACGTGACAAACCTTACTAATTGGCTGTCGGGTGGTGGTGGGTTTAACGACACATTTAGATTTCGCGATATAACCTTTATTATGAATCTATGCAGTGAGTGATATGCCCTTTCTCCTTGAGTGTTACATATATCAAGTGACACCGTCATTGCCACAAATTTAATTCATCATTTAAGGACCATCTCATAAAAAAAGCCAAAAAGACAGTTCAGGAGCGGAGTCTTTCTGTTGAGAATGAATCCTTCATTAAATATGAATGTCAGTTGTTCCACATCCTCGCAGCGGCTTTTGGCTCACCATCGAACAAAGACGGCCACTGCTTCGTACGCTTTCAGATGAGCTTCTGCGGCCTTCTGGAACGCTCTTCGTTCCGGTTATAGGAAGCCACTGGACCCATGCACTTTTAAATCTTCATTTGAAACTAATTTCTTTAGAACTCCTCTTTGTGTTTAGTTTATTGTCCTTCCCCCGCACGTCCGATTAGCACGGCTGGTTACGTGCAATGCGAAAGAAATTTAACATACATACGTACACATCCCTGATCATAATTATACATGCAAACGTATTAAATAAGGGAAATTATCTCGTGTCTTTTTTCAATCCCTACACCGAAATAATTTCGGCCATAGATTCCCCACAATGTGGACTTGGCTCTGGTTTCCAGTAATGCCACGCAGGGTAAGATGAACCCTTAGCCTCTGCATCGCTACCTGCGCATAACGTGATCGGAGGTGCGATTAACATTGGTATGCAAATATGTTCAGTCGTCGAACGCCACTGTCGAGATCTCTAGCCAGGAGAGGGCTTCGGGAGAGAATCCGTGTAGTTTGTGCTGTTCCTCCTCCGTTGATGGAGACCCGAAATGGTCTCGTCGACTTGCCGTTAGACTTGTCGCCATGGCACACCCCCTGGTTACGTTTCTTTTTAATCAATCTTAAGCACATCTAGGCGGAATGGAAGTCGTTAATTCGAATGCAGGTGTGATCAGTTTAAAGAGTAGGCCGCCCAGTTGTGTGAGGACTGAATGTGGAAGGTTCAAATGTCAACTGAGAGATTTCGCCACGAAACGATTGTCAAGAGTCGCAGCATGAAATGCAAAGAACTGATGGCGATTTTACAGACGTCCGTACGGCTGTAATATGACTGTTTCGACCCCCAAAAAACAGCTTTGATAATGAGTGTGGGTTAAGGCTCCAGAATGCCCTTATTAATAATCGTATGCCATTCGCTGTCTGGTTGTGTCACAGAATAGATTAAAACAAAAATATGTAATAATAATAAAGTGCAGGTGCGTTTTGAAAAGTAATAAACTTTTTTTCATGTCAACTGTCGCACCGTTCCAGTTGTGCTCCGCTAAATATAGCACGTGAGCCTTTTACGATTCAACAGATGTTGCTTGAATCAATGCCACGACTTCTAACATGGAATTGGGCCAAGTAGGTACAATACGGCTAGTGTAGTGTGCATATGCAGTACGGTATATTTATTATCACGCGCATTGCATGCTTTATCAAAGTACTGTTTGTATACTATCTACTGTAACATTCACCAGCACTCACCAATACCCACTGACACACTCACTTTGTTCACCAGCACTCACCAATACCCACTGATACACATACCCACCTTGTTCACCAGCACTCATCAATAGCCACTTACACAAATACTCACTTTGTTCACCAGCACTCACCAATAGCCACTGACACAAATACTCACGTTGTTCACCAGGACTCACCAATACCCACTTACACAAATACTCACTTTGTTCACCAGGACTCACCAATACCCACTGACACAAATACTCACTTTGTTCACCAGCACTCACCAATAGCCACTGACACAAATACTCACTTTGTTCACCAGCACTCACCAATAGCCACTGACACAAATACTCACTTTGTTCACCAGGACTCACCAATAGCCACTGACACAAATACTCACTTTGTTCACCAGCACTCACCAATAGCCACTGACACAAATACTCACTTTGTTCACCAGCACTCACCAATAGCCACTGACACAAATACTCACTTTGTTCACCAGCACTCATCAATAGCCACTGACACAAATACTCACTTTGTTCACCAGCACTCACCAATAGCCACTGACACAAATACTCA